AAAAAAAAAAAAAAAAAAAAGAGTGGAGAATAATATGCAAATACAGAGACAGGTGAGCTTTTAGTACTGCTTAATTTCCTAATGACTTTTTTTTTTTTTTTCCGGTACGCGGGCCTCTCACTGCTGTGGCCTCTCCCGTTGCGGAGCACAGGCTCCGGACGCGCAGGCTCAGCGGCCATGGCTCACGGGCGCAGCCACTCCGCGGCATGTGGGATCTTCCCACACCGGGGCACGAACCCATGTCCCCTGCATCGGCAGGTGCACTCTCAACCACTGCGCCACCAGGGAAGCTCCTCCTAATGACTTTTGAGTTCCTGGTTCCATTTTTTCACGAGACCTGAGTACCTTGGGTTCTATGATATTTTCTTGTATGTTTCAAACACACACACACATATATAGATACAAATTTTTCTTCTAATTGAAATAAATTTCTTTTACTTGAAACCAAGGGAACTGTGATGAACATGCAGGGTTAAGCGAAAGGAAGGTGTCCATAGAAATTAGTCTAAAGCATTTGACATACATTTCAATATGTGTAGAGAATCTTTAAAATATGCCTATCCTTTGACTTATATATATTCTACTTTTAAGGATATTCCTTAAATTAATGAACAATGAATACAAATATTTTTGCACAGATAATTTCATATAGCATTATTTATAACAATAAGAATGGAAACAAGTTAAACATCCAGCAGTAGACTAGTATTTAATAAAGAATGAGCAATTGTGTGGCCTGTTCAAATGTTTTCTAAGAATGATTAATAACGGCTGTCATATTACACAACTCCAGGAAGTGTGTCATTGTCTAAGTGAATACCTTTTAGAACTGTGCAGTGCCCAGCCTATACTTGTGTACACAATACCCTGGTTTAATGACATATTAAACATTAAACCAGGTTTAACATTATATTACAGTTAAATTAAAAAGTAGCATTCACACAAAACTGTATCTTTGGTATAATCCCAAATATATGATTAATAGATTTCAATGGCTATATACAATATTTGTTTAGAAATATTATAGAGATATATGTCAAATTCTAATAAATTATCTCTGGGTATTTGAAGTATGAGTGATT